AATGGTCCTTACTATTTATTTTTGTTGCGCGTTTGGTCCCCGTCTTACCTAAAAATACTATTGTGCCCTTATTAATTTATTTTTTTAATTAATTTTCTTATCTATGTATTTATTTTATACATATTTAAAAAAATTAATAGACCACACATATTTTTATCTCCTCGGATGATCTCTACTGTTTATTTTTAATTAATTTTTCTTTTTTAACTTGGTTGATTCTTACTGTTTATTTTTGTTACGCGTTTGGTCTCTGTCTTATCTAAAAATGCTATTTTTCCCTTATTAATTTTTTAAATTAATTTTCTTATTTATGTATTTATTTTTTATAAAACCTGAAATCACATTTGAGAAATTTAATTTGAGTCTTACCATTAACCATCTCATCTCTGATCCTCCCCATCTTCTATTTCTTTTCCATCTTTAGTAACATCAATGTCTTCACCGTCCTTCTTTTTTTGGTACTTCAACTCTGGAGAACCAACACCATAACCTACTGTCTCTTCATATTTAGTGGGTTGTGGTGTTGTTTCGACGGAGTTGAAGGACCGAAAAAAGAAGTAATGATGAAGACGTCGATATCACTAAAGATGAAAAATAAATAGAAGTTGAGAATGATGAAAGATGGGATGGTGAGGAGATACAGATATGTGAGGTCTACTAATTTTTTTTAAACATATAAAGCATAAGTACATAAACAAGAAAATTAATTAAAATAATTAATAAGGGCACAATAGTCTTTTTAGGTAAGACAGAGACCAAGTTCGTAACAAAATTAAATAGTATGGACCATCCGAGTTAAAAAATTAAATTAATTAAAAAATAAATAGTAGGGATCATCCAAGGAGATACAAATATGTGTGGTATATTAATTTTTATAAATATGTAAAAAATAAATATAGATAAGAAAATTAATTAAAAATAAATAAATTAATAAGGGCACAATAGTATTTTTAGGTAAGATGGGGACCAAACGCGCAACAAAAATAAACAATAGGAACCATTTAAGTTTAAAAAAGTAACTTAGAGACCAAAACCACAAATTCCCCCAAACTATAGGGACCATTCATGTAATGTAATTTTTACTTTTCCTTTTGTTCATATTTGGATAACTATTTTTTTTGTACACATCTAGGTAACAAACTTGTTGAAAGCGTTCACATTTAGGATTTAACCTGTTATAGCAGGTCATAATGGCCATATGTGAACACTTCCAAAAAGTTTGTTACCTACATATGTACAAAAAAAAGATAGTTACTCAGATATGAACATACCGAAAAGTTAATTACCTTGATAAGTCATATTCCCAATTAAAATTGTAAATGTCTGGAGAAGAAATCAACAAAATAATGAATGAAGACATAATCATGTGGGAATGAAAAATAGAAACTTTGTTGAAGTGACTTTCCGAAAAAATCTAAGGTCAAATCCATAAAACCACTATGATTTTGTTTAACTATTGAAACCACTATGCCCTCTTCGTTGAAGACACCGACTATTTTTTTTTTCCATCAAAAAATCATTTTAAGTTTCTTCCTGATATTAGATGGGAAAAGTGGTAACTTTTGTTGTTAAACAATATTTGTTGTCCATCTGGTAATTTTTTGTTGTCAAATTAGTCTAAAAGTGGTCCAGTTAAATATTCATTTACGTCAAATTAGTAAGAAAGTGATCAAGTTGTATGTTCAATTTTATGTCAAAACAATTATTCTTTGTTGTCAGAAAGCTAAATATTTTTTAAATTAGTATTATAAACAAATGAAACTTTATACCATAAAATGTTAGCAAATATACTACAGACTGTCCAAACTTTGTTATAATATGAGTGCTCAGGGTTATTTCAATAATGTGCCCTTGTTGACCTAGAAGTGCACATTTAAACCATTTTTTAATCGACAAAAAAAATCCAAAACGGTTTTTGAAAACTGGTTTTTTCTAAAACACGTTAGTTTATAACCAAACCGCCAATTAGTAATATATATATATATATATATATATATATATATATATATATATATATATATATATATATATATATATATATATATGAAATCAATTTTTATACTATAACCGAACTAAAACATTTTTTATCGAAAAAACCGGTTTTTAAATCAGTTTCACTTCAAAAAAAACCCCCAAAAACCAAAACCAAAACCAATCTAGAAAAAACATGTTAGAAAATTGAATCTGTTTAAAAAAAACAAAACCGGTAAATGTGTCTCTCTAGTTGCAACAAGGACCATTTCAATAAATAAGGGTTGAATTACTCTTCCATATGATCAGAACCAGTCATTCCAGCTCGTATTTTGTAGAAAATAACACATAAAGGACATACAAGTAATTAAGTCATATTTGATAGTTTTATGTATAAAATTATTAACGAGGTAAAAGAGTAATACATTATGATACATAGTCTAAGCTTTTGTATCTTTTCGATTGCTCATGTAATTGTAATATACGTAGCTAAAAGAGATATACACAAATTATTCACAAACTTATAGTTTTTTTTTTTCTATCAACCAACAGGTATGACACCCAACAATCAGTTTGTTGCTTATTTTTTTAAAGCTTATGAATTTACAGCCAATTATATATTGGTCAATCTGAAAAATATTGATCATACATACATATATTAGATCACACTTATATAGAGAGACCATATAACACACAAACTCCAATATTGGATTTGGACCAATTTACTATAATTTGGTTGAGATTTTGAAGTACAATGCAATAATAGGAAGAAACAAAAAGCATGGTGCCAAAACATATAAACAAACAAATGTACATTGCTATATCTTGTAATTAACCCTTTTATTTAAAAAAAAAAAAAAGTAAAATGTCAAAATATACAAAACCAACGAAATTACAATGCTACAATTGGTACTTCCTCAACTAAATGTACCATATCTTTAATATAATGCTTGAAAATCATAGTTTTTCCCTAACTAAAAATCAAGTGATTCTAAAACACACCTTTACCTATATGGTTTTACAATTTTACCTTCAACTCAGTTGTTCCTTATGAACCTGTTCATGCCACCACTCGTTCTACACTCCTCAAAACTTATACGTGCATACAAAAACATAAGTTAATACCAATTTCAGTAAACTTTTCGTGATATGTCTCATGGAAATGTGCAAATAAATGACTGTGCATGGAATATTTACAGAGAACAAAATTACCACACCACCAATATTCCAAACCGGAACTTTTACAGGTCAAAAAGTGTAAATAAGATGTGGGCTCGGGTTATTTTAGCAATAGGCTAAGAACAGAGCCAGGTTGCCAGATCAAGAAGGATCAAATACCCTTATATTGTCTGTTGTCGAGGTCTTTTCCTATCATTAGCAATACATGTTAATAATGGATGCTTTAAACACACATATGGAACATTTGGGAAGTATGTTGATTAATTATAGCAGTAAAAAAGGAAAAAATAATGCATGGTCAGTTGTGATTTAGAATCCAATATTGGAAGAAAAGACTTGTTTTAAAATCAAAAGAAGAAATATTTAAACAAAAAACATTCACCTGAGTTAATCAAAAGGTAATAGACAGCTGGATGTCAAACAACCTTCAAAAATTAGAAAAAAAAAATTAATTCGGTTCAAACGGAGATTAGGCATTCTAAGAGTTGTGGTATTGCCACCTTGCATATTATGTTATAGGGTTGAAATTGGCATTGTTTTTAGGGGTGTTTGTTTGGATGGACCGGTTCGATCCGATCCAATTAAGTAAATCCAAATTGATTTCGGTTTCAAAATATGGATCCGAATAATCCAAACTAAAATCAAATCCGATCCGATCTGATCTCATTACAATTTGGTTGGATCGGTTTTTATAATTCGGTTTTCAAAAACTAAAACATTTTAAAAAGACATATAATTATAATATTATCCAATTTTTATAGAAAGAAGCAAAAAAAATATTTAGTTGTGATTTAAAATCTATAAACTACTAAGAATGTATATTATAGTTTAATATTTAATAGATAAATAACTTTTAAGAGAAAATGTATATTAACGTTTTTTATTAGATGGAACTTTTTAAAGTTATTTGAAAAAATAAATTATAAATATAATAAATAGTTATGGTTATATTAAAAATAAATAAATAATAAATTATTATTCGGTTTTTTTGGATTATTCGCTTCATATTTTATACACCAAAACCAATCCGAAATCCAAAATAGTAATTCGGGTTTGTTGAAAACCAATCCAAAAATCCGAATATACGAACCAAATAGTTCAAACCAATTTGTCCAATTGGACAATTCGGTTTTATCCAAATAATGAAAATTCCTAATTGTTTTGCAAGAAACCTTAGACATGCTCTCAACATCTATCATTATGTCATACATCATGCAAAATTTGGTTACATTTTTTGTTACAACTAGAAATTCTGATGCTTTGAAAACACTTAACAAGGATAACATTGTAACTAAAACTTGAAAGCATGTATGATGCTTATTCAATGACAACAAAATTTCCATCAAGCACTTTGTACAAACATTCAAATAGTCAATAAAAGGTTGGAAACCCTAGAAATCCCGGTTTAAGTCCAATATGGACTAGGATTTCCTTATTGGGCCTAATGGACCAATAAGCTTCCAATTTGATTAATTTGGGCTTAGAACCCTTAAATGGGCCCTAATTGGACCCACTTGCATGAAACTTAACATTTTGGGCCATAATGGATCTAAAATGGATTAGTTTACCTATAATGGGCCTTATTGGGCCATAACAAATCCAATTAGCCTTAATAGACTCAAATCCATTCTTTTGTGCAAGAATTGGGCCGTGAATTTCCCTAAATGCCCAATGGGCTGAAAAAATATTATTTGGGCCTCACAATTTCAAGCCAAGACTAGAAATGGGCCAAGTAAATATACCTCCCTTCTCTTTAACCTATTTTCGGCCCAAGTAAAAAAAAAAGGGAAAATGGCTAATTATCCAAGCCATGCCACCTCACTAATACATGGAGGTAA